AAAAATATATATATAACTTCCATTTTTGTTGGAAAATTGGAAGCATTATTATCTAAGTATATTATACTTATAATCAGAAAATTAAAATAAAGCACAACCACAGACAGTAATTGTATTTATCTCCATTTATCTCTTTAAAAGGTATTTTCATTCTACAGCACAAAAGTGCAGTCAAAGTCTGTTTTGAGAAATTTCAAGGACATTACTGGGGTTATGTAAATGTAAATACCTGTAAATATTGCACTATATATGTCTGTGTGCCTGGAGTGTAATTTAAGAGCTTGTTGACACTATGCCGTTAAAATCCTGATCATAATGAGGCATGTCTGACTATTTTAGAAAATGTGGTAAAAAATAGAAACTTCTTTTGACTTACATTTTTAGCATTTCTTTGTCTGAAGAGTCCATTTCTAAGCAACTTTATAAATCACCTTCTTTAATACTCCAGTAAATCTCAGGTTGAAGTGTTAAAGAAGGGGCTTGAAGTTGAAGTGTAACAGCTGGGACTTCATTCCCTCTCAACATCACATACAAGCAGATTTTTTAAACGTTTACTGAGGTTGTAAAATTCATAGTCATAATAGGTCATTTATTTTTTTCCCTATAATTTGCATGCATTCAGGTGATCCTATTATGCTTTTATAAAACTGGGGTTTTAATATACTGAGAAGGAAATTAAGATCAGGAGGTCTACAGAAGGTGGTCAATATTACATATTACTCCTGTCATCGAGAGTGTTAGTAATCCTTCTTGGTGACTGGGAATAAAACAGTTACATCTCCACTTGGAATGAATACTAAAGCAAGAAGACAATGCTATCGTGATATTAAGGAGTAACATCATCCAAGGACAGGAGCTTGCAGATCTGTCTTAACAGAAAATATGTCCCTCTTCATGTCTAATTTATGATACGGAGCTTCAAACTGGGATTTCTGCAGTCTAGGGAAGAAATTAGGGTGAGAGATTTCCTGGGTTAAGTGGAAATCCATCACAGGTTTGGGTAGAGAAGTGAGATTAGTATGCAGTGCTGCTTTATCCTCAGGAATCCTGACATGAGGAGGATCAATTACCAGTTCTCGAGCCTTGCCTACCCTCCACCTCAGGTCAGAGGAACTAAAGACGGAGCCAGCTCGTCACCCAGGAGTCTGCACAGGCCTCCACAGGGGCTTCCAACGGCTCACGCCAGATGACCCAGCACAATGGCAAAGCTACGCACAACAGTGCAAAGGTATTTTGGCAGGTTTACATTCCAAAGACTACAAGAACCAAAATCAAAACCAGGAAAACTGGTTTTGGTCTGAAACAAAAAGAACACTGGTTGCCTAGAACTTTTTTTTTAAGTATTTGCTCCAAATGTCCACATTTAGCTCAGCTATGAAGGAGAGATCAGGGCTTTCCTTGTCAACACGATAGAACTAAACATTCTTTACCACGAACGACAGATTTCACAAGTAATAAAATATTTAATCTTTTTCCAGTATATTTTCAAGAAAATTATGCCACTCATGTTCTTAGTGTCTCTGCCCAACTAGATCACCACACACACAATAGCAACTGTTCAGTGGCCGAATGTGCCTGTTAAGGAACAAGTCAAGGTTTATTCCAGCTGAAAAGAGAAGAAAAGAAACAGAATGTTTCAGCTGTGAAGCCTTCTTCGGGTTCTCTTAAATTACTTTATCGTTTACATGGTTATGTTATGGTAGATATAGACATAAGAAACAACTTTCCCCTCTTATTATTTATTTAAAGCTTAAATGATCTTCTCATTTGATGTTTTCTGTATGATTTCGCTAAATTCATTTTTAACGTCCTTAATAGCTATAACATGTTTTTCTTGTGACTGCAATAAAAGGCCTTAAGGTCAAATGTCACTTTTCAATTCATTCATCTCAAAAGAAAAAAAAACTCAGAAACTTGAGACATGCAACAGGTTTTCATTTGATCTCTTCAGGTCTGTCACATGATGCAGTGCAGTGTAGCCCGCAATGACATACTTCCTGAGTTAAACTACGCTTCTTTAACCTCCTTAAACCTCCCTAGGCTGTGCCCCCACCTGCCATCTTCAGTGAAAGTGTACACATGTACACACGACACACACGAGACCAACCGCAGGGTTTATTTTCATTTCTGCTGAAACTCCTGATGATTGAAAAGCCCTGGCAGGCTAGCCCTTGCTCCATGAATAACATCAACATGGTTAAAGATCTCTCACACGGTGGCGTGGGAAGTGAGGAAGATGCGAAAACTGCCACAGCTGATAGCGCTTACCTTGCACAGGGCCTCCTGGTGCAACGTCTGCGTGTTACACAGCTCCTCCCTGAGCTGCTGCGCCAACACCTTCTGCTCCTGCACTTTCCCGTGCATCTCCTGCAGCTCCTCTGTCGCCACGCCAAGCTGCTGCTGCAGCAGCAAAGACTTTTGGTTCCAGCGTTCCAGATCGGTGCAGTGTGATTGTTTGGCGGCATCTAGGTCACAGTGCATCTGCTCCATGGTTTGCATGTGATTCGTGATCTTGGAGGGACGAAACATCACCACGCGTTACTGATAGTATAGTAGAAGGTTTCAAACGATTTCGACCAATACAGTGAATTAATTCAGCGATGATAAATTACACAAAAGCAGCTACATATGGAAAAGGTACCACCTTGAGTATTATTTTAATTAATAACAGCTCCATTTTTCTAACAGCAAGCATTTTTCTTTATAAAACAAAATGAAATTGGAAATATCAATTCTCTGTAAAAAGGCATCATTACCCTTAAAATCCTAAAAACAATTTAGTACAACAAAATGAGCACACTGATATTTCAAAAACTCTGGGTAAATTCTTGTGCCAAACAAAATGTTTGAATGTTTGTTTCAGAAGGGCAAAAAGTGTAGGATGGGATGCACAGGGACGGTAAGCAGAGAGGACCGCTTTACTAGCGGACCAGGACAGTGAGCAAAGTTACTAGCGGACCGGGACAGTGAGCAGAGTTACTAGCGGACCGGGACAGTGAGCAGAGTTACTAGCGGACC